AAATGAAAATGAATGATTTGAAATAAAACAAATGGTTCAAAATGAATGATTCAAAATCAGTGTTCCATGTTGCAATCCAAAAAAGGAAACAAAATGTTGTAAAGGTGGTTGCAACCAGCAGTTGCAATCATTTTTATATGACACAAAGATGGTAGCAACCATCATCAAAAGTTGCAGCCAGTATCCTTATTATCACCTAATTTTAAAACAGAGTCCTCATACCAATTTTCGATGAATATTTATTTGATAATTATGGAGGAGATAGAATTTGAATTCTGTCAATTTTTTATTAGAATCTGCATAAATTTTCAAAATTTAGCCAATAAAATTTGAGAAAATTGTTGTGATGAAAAAATCTACATATTAATTTTTATATGAGACAGTGCAAAGCGCTTAGTCCCCACAACTTTTATTGGTCAAAGACCTTTCTCTACAAAATTGCATCTTCATTTTGTTGATATGTCATGTTGTTGTGGAGGAATTAAGCCTCAAAGTTGTGCAAGTTTAACAAATTTACTATGTTAACCTCCCAAAGTGATATGTTATACATATTAAAAATGAACAAGGTTGATCTTTTACTGTATGAAAAAAACTGAGAACACAACATGGTAAGTGGCTTTATTTTTTTTACATATTACACAATCAATGCATATGAACAAATTGTTGATTATAATTGGTATATTATTGCATCTTTGATTGTAAATTTTTCTCAAAATTGATGCTGTAGTGCAGAAAGTTGTAAGGACTAAGTATCTTGCATTATATATGATTTTGATTTGCATAGTTGACCAAATCATGTTACATTCATTGTCTATATGATATATTTTTGCTAAATAAGGTGAAGCACTGATCATGCTACATAATAAGAAATAATTCGTGTATTGTGACAGGAACCCGCAAACTATATAGATAGGTTACTGCCAAAGCTGGGTCAAATCTCATAGTAAAAGACCTAATAATTTTACTATTAGAAAATGCAATGTTGGTGAAAAATTACCAAATTTGGAAAGATTGTCGCCAATCACAGTGTGGGTATCAAACCGTGATTTTGTATATACATATGTAAAGTTTGCGGGGTCCTATCGTGACCAGTGTTGGAAATTCAGGGTGCGCATAATGCGGTATTAACCAATTATGGAAACCGTTTGCATATAATTTCCATATTTGGTTGGTACGAACAATCACTGATTGTGACACGCCAAATTTTCGTTAGTTAATATTAATTCAAAAAAAAAATTGAACAATTTATATTTTCAGATCAATCATAAATATATAAGCTAATAATAATATATAAACGTAGAATATAAAAAATATCAATTTTAAAATGTATGCTAAATAATAAATTCAAATGGTAATTTTTATCAGAACGAATCATAAATATAAGTGTAGATTTTTTGTGAAACAAAAAAAAGCATTTTTCCTTTTTTTCCTTTACGAAAAAAAAATTATTTTAACAAAAATTATTTTTCTCAAAAAGCGATTATATTTGTAAAACTTTTACTTGTATATCTTTTCGTTTAAAATAAGAAAAAATATGACACCAATTGAAAAAACAAGCGGTCCAAAAATATCAGCTGGTAATTTGATTTACTTGTCTATATTATCTTGACAATTTGAAAATTGTTCGTGTTTTGTCCAATTATCACCAATTAATATAGATCATTCATTTCAACATCACTAACTAATACTGCTGCTGCTTTGTTTCTATTGCTAATTTTAAAAAACCTCCTCTAGATGCTACTGCTACTTCCTCATTAAGAGGAAATTCCAATTCACAAGCATCTACAAATGCATCGATTTTCAAATCTGAAAATAAATCAACTCGTTCACCAGGTTTGTCAATAAATTTTTTAAAAATGATTATGGGACCGATAATGAGCTTTTTATAAACTTTGTTGATCAAATTTTATATTTTTAATCAATATTTCAAATCTAGTTCATAGGATTAATCATCAAAACAAGTCAAAAATCACCAAATCGACCAAAGGCCCTATTAACAGAATAAAAAGAACCTACGAAAAAACAACAGATATATCAAATCAAGCAGAGATATCAATATTATTAGATGATGATAATAACATAATGAATATTGAAACTGCTGATAACACCGTTAATACTACTTTTAATAATAATATAAATGATCTTGATATTAATAATTATGATAAAAATAAGAATATTGTTGAGATTAAAAAAAAACCACCATTCCCAACAAGAAATTTTGTTCAAAATCAATCAAAAGATAATTCAACTGATTTTATTCCTGAACAACCTATTTCAGGAAAAAAACGTGCATTGCCGCCGGAATCATCAAAATTTGGCTTTTTACCTCTAGATACATTCATAAAAGAAGAAAAACCACGAAAACCACGAACAAAAAAAACCAAATCCTTGAAATCCGAATCATCATTATCATTGTATCCATTTATAACATCTCAGACATCTTCACAACAACATTCAACTTTAATGCCAACTTCTTCCCTACTGCTACAACACAATAAAAAACAATCACAACAAATACCATCTTCATCTCTGTCTCGTTTAACTCTAGAAACCTCACAACTATTATCAGCCTCATATTTACCTTTATCATTGAAAAATCAAGAAGGCTTGTTACTTGAAAATTCTCACAGAACTAAACGTGTAAGAAAGCAGTTTCATGTTGAATCAATGTCTGCCGAGCCATCTATCTTGACCGAAGATGGTTTTTGGATTCCGACGGACAAAAAGAAAACTTCTGCAACAGAGTTAAAAGTATATTACGACACTTGTGTAAAAAAACTTCCTGACGCCACTCGATCAGAATTATTGAAGCTTGGCACATTAATTCTCGATAGACTCTTGGCACAAGGGTTTTCTAAACCTTTTGTAAATCCTGAGTCTGAGTCTGCAATAATATACAGAGAGTATATTCATAGACTGATGGATCTAAATACTCTTGAATCTAATTTATGGTCAGGAAAATATCGAAATCCCACAGAAATGTTAAGAGATCTTTTTCAGATAATGTTCAACGCTTTTATATTCCATGAACAAAATGGTGAAATATATAAAGATGCAAATTTGATGAAGGATTTTATCAAGGAAATGTTGGATCCATTCAGGTATTTATTATTCATTTGTCACTTATTATTATAACATAGGTCAATTAATAATCATTTATATTTGTATGTATGGATGTATGTATGTATAGTAAAGGGGATATCAAATCATGTTTATCAAAATTTGAAATGAAATCACCACATGATGAATTTCAATCGATTCATATCAATGACTTCAATCCTGAAAGGTAAAATTATTGATACAATATAAAATAAATTTTATTTTTAAAAAAATAAATAATAATCACTACCACACACACGCACACATATATAAATATATAATGATTTTTTTTTAATGTGCATACAAAAAAAAATAGCAAACTATACCTTATGCCTATATTTGAGTTTCGTCACAAAAACAAAAAATACTCATGTATGAAAACTGAAGCAATCGACAGACTAACAACATTTAATAAACCAATTCTTGAACTTTTTGACAATGAAGCTCTTCCTCCAACTCTATTCGATGAAACTGCGGTTACTTGTAACTTTGATCGATTATATATTGCCAACATCCATTCTCAACTATTAAGATCTATTCAAAATGATAATTCCACTCTTCTATTGCTTAAGAATATCAAATGGACTCCAGAAACTAATCATTTCAAATGTCAAATAATCAGAGCAAAGCCTTTTGGACGTTTTCACAAATTAGATCAATTGGCCTTTAATGAATTAAGGGATGGTAGATATTGGGTACGTATAGCATATTTAAACAAGGTTGAATTGGAGTTTGTTGCAACGAAAAGATTCTATGATTTTTGCATAAGATATCCATTTGAAGTCAGAGAGTATAAAAAAGATTGGTTGCCTCTTGATTTTCATAAAAATTTCATACGATTACTTGCTAATTCGTTACAAAATTATAATACTGCCAACACTAGTAATTATAATAAAAATAACATTAACAACAAGAATAATAATAATAATAGTGATAGCAATAGCGATATCTATTTCCTACTCGATGACATTCAAAATCATGATGATGCAAATACCATTGTCTCAACTGATCTTAGCATTGTTACCACTGCTACAACCAATGCTACAACTGATGAAACCATCAATACCTCCACAATTCTTTTAAATTATCAATCAGATTTTGTCAACAAGAATAGAATGTTAATTGACCCCCAATTATTAGATATTGATAATGATGCTAATTATATGTTGCCATATCATCAAATTACAAATAATAATAACGAAAATGGTGTTGGAATTGAGATGATGACAGATCCTCAATTGCCAACTGAAAATCAAGTCTCAGCAGATCCTGAATTAATTATCAATGATCTTGAAATATCAAATAGTAATGATGACGAGGATGATGCCTTTGTTGCATTAATTGACAATTCTCAATATTTGGATATATGGAACAGACTTGTTCAAGGTAAAATTATCAATAAATAAATTATTATTGTAAGTGGAGAAGGTAATTTTTAAATGGAATTAATTTTTTTCTAAAAATAAATAAATAGAAGCTGCTGTTCGAAACATTCCAGTGATTGACATTATTAGCCTTGATAAAGAAAAAGTTATGAAGGCAGAAGGGTGTTTTAAGAGTGTTTACCATTTAAAAAACAATCAAAATTCTGTTTTGCAATATTTTAAAAGGATTAACGATGAAACTTTAGAGGCAAGGTTCAAAGAAGTCGCATTCTGTCTGTAAGTGATTATAGTGTATATACGTGTTTATAATATTTATTATTAATGCTTAAATATATTATTTTGGTCATAGTAAAATCATTGGTGCTTCAAATACTGGTCAAATCAAGGCGATTTACAAAAATAAAAATAACCAATTAGTAGGAATTTCGATGGAAAAGTAATTATTTATAATAATAATTTTTATTTGATATTCTCCTTCTAAAGAATAGTACGATAATCCTTTTTTTTTAAAAAAAAAATAGATATAAATGTACATTGAAGGAACATTTATTTGATTCAAAGAAAAAATTCACTGGTGGACAAAAATTTAAAATTATTCGTGATTTTGTTAACGGAATGAAAGAAATTCATGACGCAGGATTTGCTCATAGAGATTTAAGTGAAGTTAATTTGATGTTGGACGAAAATGATAATCTTGTAGTAATTGATTTTGGCAAAGCAGAATTTATTGGCCGTGAAGACGCACAAAAGTAAGTTTTCTTAAGTAATTTGTTGTTTTATTTATTGGTTATTGATTATAATTGTTTTTAAATATTATTTACAGATGGACAATTAAGACTATACCTGAAGAACGATTAAATATACTTCCTAAAATATTTACAACTCCTGATCATGGCTATAAGCTTTATCGGTAAGTTATCTATCTAAACTACTCTTATATATATTTTTTCTAAATATGAAGCTGCTTATTTATTAATTTGACTATATAGTTCTGCCGTGACGCTTCCACATAGGAATAACGATAAGACCGAATTAAGGAATCCAATTGATCCATTGAAAGAGGATATATATTCAGTTGGCGTTTTGATATGGCGGATATTTTCTGGTCAAGCTCCATGGGGTGGCATTCTTGATACCGACTTGAAGGAATTAAGGAAAATAGTTGGTGATGAAAAGTTAATAAGATTCTATATTGAACGACAAGTAATGGGCCAAAAGTCAAAAGATCTCTTATACATGGCCATAAGATCTTCTCCTAAGGACCGCCATAATATCAATGAACTGTTGACTTTTTTGGATCGTAATAAAGATAAATTGATTCAAGAGTGGGATGGAACTTCCAGACGTATCAAAAGATCAAAGTGGTATGATGATTAAAAATAATCTATATATATGGTTTAAAAGTTATAAAAAGTTTTGAAAAAATTATATATTAAATAAAGTTTTTATTCTTATTCTCTGAATTAAAAATTTTAATTTATATATTATGTACATATACAAATAAATAACACATTATTATTCTAATTTATCCAAATGATCTAATCTTGTTAATACAATATTTTTACTTGTTTCCTCAATTTCACCTGTCAAGAAAACTTCGTCAAGAATTGCATAGACCTAGTAATAGAATAATACTTTTAGTAAATCCATTTATTTGCATTTCAAGTAATATTTATTTGTACCTTATAAAAATTAAAAACTAAGTCTAATTCACAAACATTCCCAAAAAAAGTATCTAAAACTTCAACAAAAAAATGAATCGCTTCTAAATATGATAGTTCGTTATCATTTGCGTCTACACATACACAAAAAAACAAGCCAGCATATCTGCGATATATAATTTTATAATTTTGAAACTAAAAAATACACACAGACATGTTATTAATATAAAAATATAATTTATTAACATAAAGTGTCATTTCATATAGTGCATGGATCACCTCTACAAAATTCGATTGATGCTTTTGATCTCTAGGCGCTACGAGTCTATGGACTTCGCCTTTTATCTTATTTTTTTCCTCATCTTCGTAAGGAACATACCATTTGGATAATCTAGTTTTACCTTGACGATTTTGTACCAAAATAAATCTAATCTATAAGTGAAATGAGAAAAGTTTTGTGAATTAGAATTTAAATTTAATATTGTAATGTGTATAATGAATAAACAAAAAATATAGTACACACCATGGTATAATAAATTATAAATTAAAAAGAGTGTATTTTTTATAAAATTATGAGAAATATATAGTTTTAACTATATTTAAAAAATTAAAAGTTGGTATTTTACATATTTGTCAACAAAGTTCAAATACTTTAATAGGTTAGCGAATTCCTAAGTCAAACTTGCGAATGACTATTTTAAACCACATAACTTCCATAAACGCACAGTGCTAAATACAATAATTTTAACTTACTTGGTCACAAATGCCTAATGTTAAATTAATATCTATATTAATACACTAAAAGTTGTTAGCCGTAATCACTCTTCGATTTCCGAAATATTTCGATTTGTAGTTGTATTCCGAGCTGTTTCCGAAATGATTAAATGGGCAACATAGACCTCAAAACTTGTATGGTGCACCAACTCTTAACCCGACAATAAAATCACTTGACTTTGAAACCTTTCAACTCAACATAGAGACATTTTTTTAGAAGTCCACCAGTAATAATGTTCATTGTGATAAGCTCTACAAAGTTACTGGCTGGTTTATCAAAAAAAAGTCTCTATGTTGAGTTGAAAGGTTTCAAAGTCGGAGTACTTTTATAAGTTATATCTCTTGTGGCGATCACTCCAAATTTAGCATTTAATGTGACGTATGTCACGTGATACAAACTTTAAAAAAATTTTTAGTTCGGTTTCAAAAAATTCATTAATATTATCTGGTATCCAACGATGTGATTTATACTTCTTTACTACCCACTCAGCAATTCTACCCTCTAAGCCTTTCTCATATGCATCCCATATATCTCCATGACTTTATTGCAAGCTTTCAAATTGTTGTAACAGGAACACTATCAAGTACCTCAGGAATTGCTCTCAACAAATCATCATATTTATAAGTGCACCTCCTTCTTGTTTCTCATTTTGCATATCCCCAGTATTTTTCAATAAAATTGCATTCACAGTGGAACTTTGGATATTTCTCAAATATATGTTTAGCTGCAATTATTGACTCCTCCAGTGCTGATTTCTGCTCTAAAAAATCAAGTTGACATGACAAAATTCGTCTTGCACAGCAGTTTTGCCTATTTGGATCCTTTTCCATTTTACCAGAACACTGATCACAGACAAGTCTAATTTTCTCTGCTGGCCATAATCCACATTCAGTCAATACCAACTGGATCCCTTTTGGTTCGCCTCTTAACTCAATATCAGCCTCATCACCAAAAACCATCTTTTGAATACATTTCTCTCCTTCCTTGTTAGTGTACCAACCATCATGCAACTTTGCTTGCTTTTTTGCTGGGCCCAAATTCATTCTTGTGACAATAAGTGCATCTTCTGCCATTGCATTGTGGTTAGTTGACTGGTCAAAGCAAAAAACTCCAACACATCCAGGGTGCAGCACTTCAAAGATTGGAATTGTTCTATTTACCAGCTTTAAAATTGAAAAGAAAAGAAAATTATTAGCAGCAGTGAATTGCAATTACTATCATTATTTACCTGCTCAATCATATGTTCTGATTTCCAATAACCATCTGCTTCAATTGAATGCAATACATGTGCTTTTCTGAACTTAATGTTGGGATTAGATTTCAATTGTTCATCACTCAATTGCAGAGAGCCATGACAAGCACAAATAAAGTCAGACACCATTATAGAGTGACCCTGATACTTTTATCACAAGATATCCTCTTCATCTTGCACCCATATCTTCTTTTGTCCTTCATTGGCATAAAAATGGCATTCATCATGTGTGACCAAGACATGTTCTTTTTCACCAGGCTGAAGTTGTGGTTCAATAATTTCATTCAGTTCATCTCCATTATAATCCTTCATAAGGCATTTATAATTAAACATTCTCTTTAACCACTCCTTCCTGTATTGAACAACATCTGGGCATTCATGTCCATCATAAAATACTCACTTTCTTTTTTCATCATACTTATACCCCCATATATGCATATATTTTCTGCAAGTCTCCTGAAATTTTAACCTTTTTTATGTGCCCAGTAATCTTTGGAAATACTGTTTCTTCAATATGATTCTTTAATTCTTTGGGAAGGTAACCTTCTGGTTTTTGCTGTTGTAACCATTTTTGACATTCATCAACAAAATCCTCACTATCAAGCAAGCATTCAATTTTTGTATGCTTTCCCTGTTGATGGATGGGAAGCTTACCATTATGTAAAAAATAATTTCCCAAGTTCTAATACAACATGACATATAGTCATGTTTTCTCCAAAAACTGATTGCAACCTGCAAACTTGCATCCATTTTTCCCATTCCATCTAAACACAATTGATAATAATGATTTAAACTCAAAAGCTGTATATATTCATAATTATTATAAGAATCATCTGATTTAGAGATTTTACAACAGTTATTCAGATCTTTCAAACATGTTTGCAAGTCAGAGAAGAAAAATGAAGATGAAGATGTTAATGATGAAGATGTAGATGAAGATATGGGTGTGGGTGTGGGTGTAGATGTTTGGAAAAAGGTATCAATTTTTGCAATTGATTTTGCATGTTCTTTTAATTCTTCTGCTGCTTTTCTCTTACGCCATTGAGTGGTTCTTGATGTAGAATTATAGTAAACTTATTTATTTTTTAATGCATCTTCTTTCCAGACTAATTCAAGTCTCTTTTCAATGTTTTGGAATTCTTGCAAGTCCTCTGTTGATCATTCTTTATCTTCCTCTAAAGCTTCTTGCATTTGGCCATCATTCTCTATCAACTCTTGCTGTTGCTCTTAAAATCCAGAAAATGTCCATTTTTACTTTGTTGCCTTGCTGACACTTGTTGTTTACAATTATTGGGATGAGGCATTTTATATAAAAAAATTAAGGTTAGTTATTATAACAACTCAACAATTAATATTAATCAATGTTTAAATTCTTATGATTTTTAGGTTAATCTTTAGAATGCATCTGCAGAGAAATTAATTCAATTAATTAGGGGACTCTGATATATCACATGATTAATAAGTACATGATTTTTATTGGGTGATTTATTTGTTACACTGCATTTAGGAAATTAAAACATTGTAGGGTTAAGAGTTGGTGCACCATATTAGATATTCTCAGCATGTAGATCAGGTAGAGTTTATATTAAATTTTCTTGATGCTACCAGCCAAGGTATAGATAAATTTACAGTCAAGTATTTTACCCAATCTGGAATTTCTAAATACTGCAATGATTGACGTTCTAATTTACCATGTGACAGCATAGTGGAAATTTGAAATGTTACATTAATTTTTTATATTGTGTCAACGTAACTTTACAAGCATTCTGGCAATAAAAAGCAAATGATAAACTTGATCTGAACTTGATCTCCAATTTAGAGAAGTTTCGGGAGCAATGGGCTCTATATAACATTTCGTGTAACAACAAACTTCCACTATTCTCATGTGACACCGGAAGAAAAATATGATTGGTTAAATTTTATGCATTGAAAAAACAATTATAAATGTTAAAGTCAGTGTTGAAAATTCAATACCCGCAATGTCCGCGTGTAACATTACACACCAATCAATTTTTTAATTTTTGGAGATAGTTTCTAAATTTGTACTAGTTACACAACGAAATTTCAACACTGGTTAAAGTTCTTTAATTTTAAATTGCCCGATTCTTTATCATAATTAAGGATACTGGCTGCAACTTTTGATGATGGTTGCTACCACCTTTGCGTCACATAAAAATGATTGCAACCACTGGTTGCAACCACCTTTACAACCATTTTGTTTCCTTTTTTGGGTTGCAACATGGAACACTAATCATAATGATCTATCATCCATTTAATTTGATTTCAATTTGATTTCATTTGGGAATAACCCGTAATTTTATCACTTGATAACTTGTCAATTATTTCACAAATACCCCACTATGATTGGTAATGAAAATAAATCATTGATTTCTTTTGATATAATTCCTTGTAAAGAAAACAAAATTATCATTATTTTTATTATTTTATTTTTTGCTAACCTTTGTTTGTAAAATGAATAGTGATGTTTTTTAATTAGAAATTTGTCTTTAATAAATATTCTGTATAAATTTCATTTATATCAGGAAAATTATTTAAATTATATGGATCCATAAATATATAATTAGTGGTCACATCAGTATATTCATTTTGTGCAAATAAATGTTCTGTATTAATATGTATTGGATATAACAAATTCTATATTATTATCATTAAATTGTTCTTCAATGATCCAAGAGCAATATTTCTTAGAACTTTAGGAGTTCTGTATTTGTGTATAAATAATGGCTTCAATTTTCTGTTTAACTGTTAATAATACTGTAACTCTTTCTTTTGACCTTTTTCTTCCAGATTCAGGCCCAGTTGGTAATACTTTGGATGGTTCTAACTGCCAAAATAAACTGCTTTAAAAATATCAGATAATTAATGTTGGTTTGTAATAGAATTTCTTAATAAGCAGATAATTGTGAAATAGATCATTAGCAGCTTCATCTTGTTTGTATATTGATTTATATTTTGTATTTGCTTGAACCCTGTTAACCACCCTTCTGATGCTTTAAAGTCATGAAGTCATGGATTTTGAGAAGTGATGCAAATTTTATTGCCTTTCTTTCAATATATCACCAAGTAATGTCTTAAATGGCTTGCTCTGTCTAAATATACAATTCTTGATCAATTCCATATACCAACTATCTTTCTTGTTAGTATCAGAAAACTTTGGATCAATAGGAAGCCACCTTTAAAATATCACTAATTGTACTTGTACTTGTATCAAAAGTTGTTGTGGATTCTTTGCTTGTTGGAATCAGAATTGTCTTTTTGCTAAACAAGCTACTCTTTTTACCAAAGCAGTTAAAGATTTTCTTTTATTTAAAGCCCGAATGGTTCGGTTTTTAAATTATTATTGAACACAAAAAAAAATTTTTTTTTTTCTGATAATTTTTTTTTTCCGATAATAAATAAAATATATATATTAATATACAGTATATTATCAAAAAAAAAAAATAATAATAATAATAATTAATAATTAATTCCTCTCCTTCAATTTCACTGTTAGTTATTGATTTCTTCATGAATGAATTACATAATTCTCTTGATAATAATTCACCTGATAACTCCTATTTATAATAGTGAAGAAGTTGGAGAGGAGCATAATTAATTGATGACAACAAAGAAATTTCAATTATGTGGATCAGGATGAATAGGCTATTACTAAACTTCTTTGTGTAATTGCAATTCAATGAATTAATCCCGAAATAGCTCCTAGCTCTCGAAGTGCAAAATCTATACGAAATAGATTAAAGAATTTCAGCCAATGAATTTCTAATTCCGGTAACACTATCAAATTTAAATTTTTATTGGTTTAAAAAAAATAGATTCGGTTCGGTTTCGGTTTGTATGCAAGAAGTTCGGTTCGGTTTTGATCTATAAACCGAAAGTTCGGTTCGGTTTCGGTTTACCCATAAACCGGTTCGAACCGAACCGTTAGGAGTTTTACTTTTATTTAATGACACTTTAAAAATAATGGAACGAAATAAATTAATTTAGAACTTGAATTAAGTGGATCTAAATCGAGAAATTCAATTATATGAATCAAAGTTGTTTTTTTAAAGAGAAGTCTGATCAAAAAATTGTATGCTACTAATCAAAATTTTTTATCTACAAGATAAAACAAACATCAAGAACATATTATGCCTTTTTTGACTTTTATAAGAAACAAAAAAATTTACTTTGTAACAGCCGTGGATTTTTTCCTCCACTTTCTATAATAGACAGATCGTCACTTAATAAGGAAATATCGAACGATCATCTCTTTAGTTAATCGCGTGCTAACTATATAAATGCCTTTTAGCGCAACAATGATTGCATTAATTAATGTTAGCTAACTGTTAACTTTATTTTGCACAAATATTTTAAATAAAGAACGAATAAAAAATCTTATTGCTATAACAAGATAAGATAATCATAAATAAACAACAAATAAAATTAACAGCAAATAATAAAAATGTAAATTTAATTTGTGAAATTATTTTTAAAAAATTTTTAATTGGGAATATAAAGAAAAATTTTTATCAATTGATTATAATAATAGTCTTTTATTTTTAATAAACTATACATTATTATAATTATTACTATTACGTGTAGTGAACGTTTAGTTTTTTAATTAATATTTTTTAAAATTTGAATTTTCATCACAAATAATTTCAACTTAAAAAATTTTAAATCATTTCTTTCTTCTCGCCCATCTTTTTTATTTAAATAAAAGCCATTCCTTTTTAATTTTATTAATATACATTAAAAAGTAAGACATCAATATAATAATGCCTTTGGTATGTTTACAAATATGTATATATAATATTTACTATATAATAAAAATATAATATATTTTACTCACGCATCTTTTTTTTTTATTTAATAATTATTAAATTTTACTTGTTTTTACAATAAAAGGAATACGCTCTTCAACACAGGTAAGACACGTTATCAAACTTCTAACAAAGAGGACGAATAATTATAAAGTGTTTTAGTTGGAATATATTTTAAATAATTCAATGATTAATGATCATTTACCTTATCACTCGTGTTACCTTTAGAGGTCTTTTCCCAGATCCCGGTCCATGGAAGATTCCTCAAACTCGTGAGGTAGCTCTTAGAGATACACTTGGTATTGAGGCTCTCCCCAGGCAACGTTTCAACAAAACAAAAAGAACACCGTATGTTCTCAACATCATGGTAGTTGGTAAGTTCTATATATTTTTCTTTTACAGTAGAAAAAAAAGACTAATATCGATTGATTGATTTTTAATGATAATTTATTGATCATCCTCTTCATAATAATGAAAAGGTGAGAGCGGCCTTGGAAAAACCACTTTTATGAACACTTTATTCAACACCCCACTTAAAGAAGAAATTTATCCAAAAACTCCACAATCCACAAAAACCGTAGAAATCAGTCCGGTGCATTATGGTCAGTAATACAATATCGATGTAGTTCTTATAGTATACATATATATATATATATATATATATATTAGGGCTGGGTACATAACCTTAATGAGCTAACTTTAGTCAAGCTATTCGTTACTAAATTAGGGGTTTACCCCTTTACGCCAGCAGCCTTGATAATACATATATATTCATAGTTTTCTTTATTCTTCTATAATAAATAGAATTGGTTGAAGATGGCGTCACCCTTAACCTTACAGTAGTTGACACACCCGGATTTGGTGATCAACTTAATCGTGAACACAAGTAAGTGTTTCGACATTTAAATAAATCAAATAATTGATAGATTCATTAAAATTGAGAATAATAAAATTTAATTACTTTATATAGTCTTGATCCTATTGTGGATTATATTGATAATCAATTTGAAGCATACCATGCTGCAGAACGTAGTCCTGAATTCAGGCGTGCAATACCAGACACTCGTGTACATGCTGTATTATATTTCATAGCTCCAACCGGTCATGCGTACGTTATTTAATAATTTATATTATCTTTTTTATTCCTTATTTATATATGTTATTTATTTTATTTGTTTTAAAAAAAAGTCTTAAAGAGCTTGATATCAAGGCACTTCAAGTATTATCAACCAAAGTAAATATCATCCCAGTTATTGCTAAAGCTGATACTCTTACACAAGAAGAAAAGGCTTCCTTCAAAAAAACTGTACGTTTTCAATTCTTTTTTTTATTAAATTTTCTATATATAAACGAAAATTTATACAAAATCATATGTGTTTTATTATGGGATAGATATTAAGAGATATCGAAGCCAATGATATCAGAATTTTCCCTACTGCATATCCAGATGATAGAGAAAGTGTTGATGATCTCGAGGTATGATTAATTGTTGGTGAAAATTTTATATTATTTTTCAACGATAAAAAAAAAATATTCATTTATATATATTTTGGATAAAAATAATAGAAATATATTCCATTCACAGTCATTGGTAGTGATCAATTTGTGGACGTTAATGGAAAAAAAGTAAGAGGTAGATCATATAGATGGGGAGTTGTTGAAGGTTAGTCATAATGGAAAAAAATTTTAATATCGTTTAATTATTTAAATGTAAGTAATCATTTGCTAATAATCATGATTACCATTTATATTTATAAAATTTAGTTGAAAACGAACAACATTGCGATTTTATTCATCTCCGTGAACTTTTAATGACACATGCACTTCATGACCTTCTCGAGACAACTCATACAGTTCACTATCATAATTATCGTGCCAAGAAACTTCGTTCCAGTGGCCGCCCCGAATCTATACTTGCATGTGACGATTCTTATGAACATAGGATTGAAGGAAGCAAACAAACTATTGCCGAAGAAATGATTAGAAAAGAAGAAGAAATGAGACAAAACTTTGTTATGAAAGTTAGAGAGAAAGAAGCTTCTTTAAGGGAAAGAGAAGAACAAGTAATTAGTCACATTTTATTTGTTTGTTTGTTTGTTTATTAATAGTTATTTAATCGATTTATTGATCGATTATTGTTATTTTTATGATTAGTTGAATCAACGTAGACAAGAGCTTATGGCTGAATTAGAAGAACAACGTTTATTAATTGCTGCTGAAGAACGTGAATTCCAAGAATTATATATGCAAAGTAAAAATGCAACGTAATTATCATTCCTAATATTTTTTTTAATGATAGTATTGTTAAAATTAATATTATAATTATTATGAATTTAAATGTTTAATTGATTAATAATTTATTGTTTATTTGTATATTAGTATCTCGAAAGGAAATAAACTCTTTGGAAAAAAGGCTTAATAAACAAGAAAGAAATCCATTTCATTATAATAATATAATAACAATAATGTGACGAATAATTATCTTTTATTCTCTCTTATTTACAAATAATTATTGAAAAGAGAGTGGTAGAAGTAATATTTTATAATATAATATATTTTTTTATTTAATAATACTTTGTAACAATTATAATTTTTATTAATTTATATTTAATATTAGAAAAATAAATGTAATTTGGTTATTTTATTTTTATTTATGGAGGTTTGAATTAATTAATTATTTTATATTATTATTTATTTAATTTATTATTAGAATTATTAAGATTTTTTTAGAATTTTTTTTGACATTAAAAAAAAATCAATAATTAATTAATAATAAGCAATTAGAATTTTTATTAAAAAATTTTTTTTAAATAATACATATTATATAAACACATAAAGCAAAAGCAAAAAAAATTAATATTATTATCATTAATAGTTTTTTTTTATTGAATTGATATTTTTTTTATTCTAATTGTTGTTGTGAAATAGCAAGACATGTTAATCTACTCTTGGTATCGTATGATGATAATGGTTTAATTTGTTGTTGTTCTTGTTTATGTTTATCATCATTATCTTGTTCTCGAGGAAATAAATATTGATCCAGATTCCATAAATTGATTATACCATCTGATGATATAGATGCCAAAATAGTCAAAGGTCCAGGTTTATTGTTATCATCATCATTATTAATAATGGGAGGAGATGATTGAACAAGCGCAAGATCTTTAATTCTTAATAATTTTCCCGCCAAAAAAAAAGATTTTATTAATATGTATAGGATCGAATATACAGTATATATGATTTATAAGAATAATATGTACAGGTATTTACTTACCTATTTTTATGACCTGATATTGATAATATACAACCACCATTTTTTACATCATATATTCTTATTAATTTATCTTCGCTTCCTACTATCAACAAGTCATCATCGACATCGTTTTTATGATGATGATAATATTGCATACATAAATATCTTGAAGTTTTCAATTCAAATTTTTGCACAACCTTTGCATCCTAATAAGATTAATTAATTAAAAATTTCCATTGATTTGAAAATAAATCCCTCCTCAAAAATAATAATAATTATCATTATGATCTTAACTGATATATTGTAGATTTCTATCTCATGTGCCATTAATATTGCGTATTGATTTCCTGATGGATTCCATAATACCACTTCACCCTCTATAAATTTAAATATTTAAATACCAAAGGATTACCACAATAAAATCACCCACACTAATAACAATAATAACAACAACAACAATAAATTTAATGATAACCTCTTCCTAATTTATTTGAACTAGCTTTTATTCCATTCAACAAATTCCATAGAATAACAGTCTTATCAATTGAAACCGATAATGCAATCTTTCCTGTTGGATGAATATCCAAAGAATTAACACGACCTTTATGTCCTTTCAAATTTTTCAAACATTCCCAATCTTTTGTTCTCCATATACATATCAATCCATCATCACTACCACTTAACATGTTGGTTTTATTATAAAATTTTAACGTTGTTATCGATCCTTCATGTTTCAACAATGATCCAAGCTCTTTGCGTTTTTTTAAATTATATAATCTACACTCGCATATATGAACATGAATATATGTGTGTGTGTCATTTATAAGAACGATCATTTTTATTTAAAAAATAAAAAACTTTAACATACTTGATAACTTCGTCAGTACTTCCGGATGCTAAATATCTACCACTTACAGCAACACACTTAATACAACCAATATGAGCAGGGAAAATAAATATTGGATCTAGTTTCAACGAATAATCCTCCTTTCTCGCAAAAAAAAAAAGAAATAAATAAAAACATTAATTGATAATAATAATCAATAAATTTTATTTCTTTATTATTGGATAATTAAGTAATAATAATAATACGTTATTGTCATTTCCATTTTCGTTTTCTTGTAATATTTCCTCCTTCTCCTCTTTCTCTTTCTCTTTCTCAGAATCCTGTTTAACCCATTTTGCCTTGATTCCGTATAAAATTCTTTCATAACTTCCTGAAATAATTAAAAAATCAAATTCAGATTTATCTTCGTTGTTCCCTTTTATTATATTATTATTATTATTATTAACGATGCTGCTACTAATTCCATTATTAATATCGTCTTTGTCGCCATTTTTATTATTAGAATTTATAGAATTTCTTTTTCTTTTAGTCATAATTTTTTTTTTTTAATATTAATCAAAATTATATTGATCTACATGTTAACGTTAAAAAAAAAATTTTTCTTTATTATTTATTATTTGAAAAATTTTTTAAGATTTATATCTGTATAAAATGAATATAGTTAATGATGTAATGATGAAATTATTACTATATAGTTAGATGAGAGGTTATATTATTATGTAAATTGTAAATATGTAAAGAAATAATAAAATATTCCCCTAATGTTGGATAAAAATTGAATTATAAAAATACGCGTCAAGACAAAGTCTGTTCATGTGAAAAAAAATTAAGGTTTCATATACACACAAATATACATATATACGTAAATTTGCGAAAAAAAAAATTTTTTTGAAAGTCATATTTTCCCAACCAACCACAATAAAAAACCATTGTTCAGTTTAAAAGAAAAAATAAAGATAAAAATTTTATAAATTGGCGTTCTTATATCTTCAATCTCACACATCCCGCCACAATCACTATTCGAATCACACATCTACTTTCTATTGTGATAAACAAAAGTCCTTTTTTTGAATACTTTTTGCATTAGAAAAATAAAAATTGTTTGTTATTATTTATCTACATAATATTTAATATAAAATTTGTTTTTGAAAAAAATCAAATAATCAAAATTATAAACGTTAATATTACAACTATAATAACTATAAAGAAGATTTTTTTCCAACTATTTAAAATGTTACTATTGTTTTAGTTTTTTTTTATCAGGTTCATTTTCATTACCATCAATTGGTGGAGGACGTAGTTTAGTTAAAGATGATGACGAGGATGACGATGAAGCATTAACATTGCCAATATTATTATTGATGACATTTATACCATTATTAGCAATGTTTGTATTATTTTCTTGTTTTGATAATGGAGAAGGTTGATAAGAGTTTCTATTAGGGTTTGGCCAATGGAATGGGCCAGGTTGAGCACTAGTCGGAGTGTTACCAAATGTAAGTGGACTAGGAAGTTCTGTTGTTTTATAAAATTCAGAGAAGAATGTGGAAGGTGATGGTAGATTTTGTGCAAATGATGTTAATGCTGAGGTTGGAGCATCTGCAGTTGCAGGTGTTGGACGAGATGATTGCAACTAAAAAAATTTAAAAGAGTCATTCATAATTTTATTAATATATTATCATTAATATATATATATGATATAGATGATACATATATGAAATTCTATGGAATGGAATCACACTTACAGGTTGTGAAGTGGTAGGTTGTTGAGAATCAGCGGGAGTTTCAGATGGTTGTTCAGGTGATTGGTCTTGCGATTGATCTTGTGATTGTGATTGTTGCTGCTGTTGAGTTGTTTGTTGATTTGTATTGGAACTTGATTGCTTATCGCTAGCTTCTGGAATTTTAACACGGAGTTTTGGTTTTTTAGGAGGTGAAGACACTAAAGGAGATGGAACCAAGTCAGCAATTATAGAAGTTTCAATTTGTACAGGTGATTGTGACTGTGATATGTGAACAGTATTACCATTACCACTAGCATTACTGCTACTGCTACCAGTACTATTGATACTACAATTACTACCATTATTCTGATTAACATTAGATTTTTGAATATTTTCAGTTTTCACGTTATATATCGATATTTGTGGAGTGTTAGAAGATATAGGTAAAGTAGTATTGTTGTTGTTATTATTATTATTATTAGTTGAAGATGAAGACGGATTATTGGAAGAATTTGCATTTGTAGAATTAGGCATGTTAATTGGTATTGTGGTTTGTGGAGGAGGGTGAGGTATTGTGTTAGGTGCTTGATTAGTTATTTGATTATTTATTGAATTAGGTATTTGATTGGACATTTGATTTTGTACAACGTTGGCAACAGGATTGTGCATAAGAGACATAGTCAGTTGTTGTTGTTGTTGGTGATGTATTTGCTGATTTGCTTGTGAGTAAAACTGTTGTGGCTAGTTTAAAAAAAGAAAAAGATTATTAATTAAATGTAAGAGCATATGAAAGAAGGGTTAAATATTTATATTATAATTTGTATTAGAGTATTTACTTGTTGAACTAAGTAAGCAGGTGGAGATGGTGCATACATTGGATAATTGCTTATTTGATAAGATTGAGGAGGTGGGGGTGTTTGTTGATAGTTGGATTGTGGTGAAGGCATTCCATATCGCTGCTAGACAAAAAAAAAACACGACGTTAAAATGAGAACTTAAAAAACCATTTATAAATTGGAATAAGAATTGAAACCTAACCTTATGATCAATCCCTGTCGTATCAAATCCTGGTGGAGGTTCATCATCGTCATTATCAATTGTATTAGCAAACTAAATAATAATTTTATAAATTTATCATCATATATTATTAAAAGAAAGAAATTAAAAATAATAAAATAAAACGATTTATATTATAATCCTTACATCATGATTTCCTTTACTCTCATGAGGTTCGCTATACTGATAACAAATTGCAAAATAACAATATGTAAGTAAATAATTATTATAAACTTCAATTATAATACTATAATGATTTTTTACCTCTGTATATTTTAATAGAATTTTATCAATATCTGTACTTGCGTATTGAACAAGTTTATTATTACAATTGAAAATAATTAAAGCTATCTCACAATCACATAATACACTTAATTCATAGGCTTTCTTCATTAAGCCATATTTTCTTTTCAAAAAAGTCACCTGATAATTAATGACCGTTAAGTAATCACAAATAAGTTGAAAGTAATAAAAATAGTCAAAAAAACTCATTACTTACTTGACGATTCCTTTCATCTTTAATTGGTTTTATTTGAATCTTTTTACGTCCCATGTTTTAATTATTATTGTTTGAACTAATTGATTGTCAGATAGATGAAGTATTGTCGAAGAGAGAGAGAGAGAGAAGTGAGAGATAATGAACTTTTTTTTTTAAAAAATAAAATAAAAGATTTATTTTAATAATATTGTTTATTGTATATGTTTGTGAAAACAACATTGAAAGGATAAAGAATTGTGAAAAGGAATGCATAATATCTGAAGGAAAGAAATGAGAAAATCAATATATAGTAAAAAAATTTACAAAATACTAATAACAAAAAAGAAAGTTTTTTATGATGGACTTAATGGTAATGCTGTTTTAAAAATATATCAATATAATAATAATTGCAATAGTATGTTGTAGTGTATGTTGTATGTTATATGTGAATGGAAAAAAGAATTGAATTCCAAAAAAAATTTTTAAGAAATTAAAGAAAAAAATTAATCAATAAATAAATAAAATTAAAAAAGAACACTTACACTTTAAAAGTAGGAGAAAATAATTATTTTATTTTTTTTAAAAAAATCAAAAATTTTTTTTTGATAATTCGCAAAGTATATTTTTGATGTGGACGCGTTTGTGTGAATAGGCGAGTAGTTGGTGTGTTTTTTTTTTCAAGTTCAAAGTTATTCCTGGAAGTTCTTTTTTTACCACAAAGAATTTTTATTTTCTATTATAAATTTGTATATATTTATATATATTTATATATAAATATAAATTATGGATATTTATATAAATTTATATTTATATATGAGAGATAAAAAAAGGTGAAGTTGGATAAAAAATAAAAAAAATAAAAAAAAATAAAATTATTTTTAAAAAAAATTTTTAATGGTAAGAATAGCTTAGAGGAGTTAAAAATATATTTATATATTGTGTGGTTGGTAACACACTTGAAAAATACGATGGTGAGCAAGTTGAAGAACAAGTCTATTTATGTAATAATAATAATAAACCAACATTTTCATTTACTAATTAAATATATTTATTTTATAATAATAATATTTCATTATATTATAATTTATACATACACAACATATAACTGGTGATGAAAGATCATATGAGAGAGGGAGTATTATTGTTATGTTACCCATTTATTTTTTAGGGTCTTTTTTTGATAAAATAAAATAATAATATTAAATATTAATATTAACATTAATATATTTTAAGAAAAAGCAGGGGCAATAAATATGGAGTTATATTCTGGTAGGAAAGGAGATTGTAGATAACAAAATTTAATTAAACAAGAATTAAAACCAGAAATTATTCAAAAAAAATATTGGGAGTTTTAGTTGGTGACCTTTTTTTTTTTTATGAACAATCAAATTAATTTTTTTTTTCTAAGAATAGATTTTGTGTGGCACTCACTGTATTCCAATAAATAAGATTGTGTTACAAGGAGGAAAGGATTTTTTTTAAAAAAGACGGATAAAGAGGATTTGTTAATCGTTGTGTTAAAAGGAAATTGAGGATGTCGCTTTATCGTTGTATGTATAGAATCAATCCAATTCGAAATTAACAATATGAAAATGTAACGTATGTAACGTGATAATGATGATACAACATAATATTTATTATCACAATCAACACTGAACCCAAGGGACTATGGGTGTCGTATGACCTGGTTACACAAAAGTCGTTGACCAAATAGAAATTTCCACCAGTAAAAATTGTATTTGCTTAGCGAATCAATCTTATACGTAGAAATTGTATTCTTGGCGAATTCATCTTATACGTAGAAAATTGTATTATTCGGCCAGTCCATCTTGTACGTAATAGCAGTAAAAATTCTCTACGTGTTAAATAAGATCCCCGTGATAAGTATTGCGTCAGTAAAGACATAATAATAATAATACAACAACAGTTAGAATGAATGGATCAGTTTCTGGAATAATCTTTTATTGGTACAAACAGATAACAAACAACATATGCAAGGGATCTCTATTTTTTTTTTTTGAATTATTAATTTAATTAATAAATTTTACCAAAATTGGTTTTTATTAAAACGACAATGTAGACATATGCACGTATTGTAATATCCTAGGAGGAATCAGATGTTTCAAAGAAAATTCGATCAAAAAAAATTTTTGCGATCATATCAAATATCGGATTGGTTATGTAGATTACTAATACTGATTGATTGATCTAATGATTGTGAAAAAAAAAGTTTTGTGCTTTCTAAAAATAGAAATTTATAATGATTTTTTTTTACTGCTACTATTTATAACTTCATTAAAATAACACTGTTACGGGACCTCCCGCCATCCAACGATCACAATCTTCAAACCTGAATTTAGCATAGTTAAAATTTTTCTCATTGGTTGTTTATTGTGGCTGGAATTAATTGAAAATGCGTATGATCGACATTTATATTGTAGGCTACTTTAAACGAGCATATTAAAACACATATCAAATACCTTGAAATTTTTTGGGTGTACACACATTACTCGAGCTTCTTTTTCTATATAGGCCTAAAACTTTTAGTATTAATGCACGAAATAAACATAATAAACATGATTTTTGTACAAATCAAATCAACCATCTCATCAAAATTTTTGGGCCATTTTTAAAGGTTTTCAGGGCCAAACCAAACTTTTTCAAGTTGTTGTGAAGCCAAAAAAAAGAAAGGTCATTTTAGGTGATTCTTACCAAAATTATTAATTTGTGGATCTATAAAGCCTGCTTATTGTGAAGTCTATTCCACAAGTACTCTCATATGAGGTATGTCGCAACAAATACCCAAACAATTACGGGGATAAAATTTAACGGAGATAATGGGGAAAAAAGATGTATCGAAAAAGTGAGATTTACTATTCTTGGAATTGGTGCTTGCTGGTGTGATATTTATAATAATCTTTTAATCCTAAGAAACGAAAACGGAAGTATTTATTATTATCATTATCATTATTATTATTACTATTAACAAATAAAATGTAACCATAAAAATATTAATTTCATAATAAACATGATTTGCGTCAAAACAATGTAAATAAATACTAATACTATGTCAACCATTTGATAATCCCGAGCATTAAAACTACAAATCCTTCAATAATCATTATTCAATATAGTTTTATTTTTGTTTAAAAAGCCAAATAATAAAATATTTGCAATTAATAAAAATGCCCCAACTGTAAAGTTTTTTACAGGTTGCTAATTGGGCTCTTCCTTGGCTTCAAATAATCAATCAATAAAATAGAACCAAGAAAAGTAAAAAATAAATAAAACTAACCCATTAGTGAGTGATGGAAGGATTTCAAGCAATTATTTGATAAGATTGAATTGGATTCAAAATTTTCCTCTAGTAAAGTGGTGGTGGAAATCTATGAATTACTTGATGTTGCTGCATCCACGATAAAAATAAGCAATCTAGCAATAGATTAATAAAGAAAAGAAAAGGAAGATAGAAGAAGAAATGGTGATGGTATAGAAAATCAAGAAAGAAAAATTAGTAATATTAAAATTGATAACAATAATAAAGTAGTCTATATTTGCACCGGAGTAACTAAGAATAGGTAATAATATTCTTTAGTGCACCCTCTCTAAATGCACATACTTCTAATTCCCGAGATTATGCTGATATGTTCCCAAGGGGGGTGGGGTTGACTATATAATTAAAATCATTATGTATTTTTTTTGTTATTTAATCCTTCCCTTGAACGTGAATGTCTTTGTTTCCACTATAGTCGTAACTCGTTAAACCGATGCACTTGTTTTGGGTCAAAGCATCGTTTTATTAAGTAGGCTTTGATAAAATGAAGTTAATATAATTTTTTTAAAAAAAAAAATTCGGTTTATAAAGTTATACATCAAAATTTATATATTCGTCTATACTACTAGCGAACTTCTATATAATAAAATGCTGACTCTTAACGAATTTTAAAACGAGTAGCAATGTCTTTGTTCGTTAGAGTAGGTTTCGATTGTTTATGATGCATATTTCTCTCTTTTTCAACATTTTGTAAATCATTTATAAACTAAGCGAAGTTTCTTTCGATAAATTGATGTTATTCGTATTATCAAGTTATAATTTATTATATGTGAAACCATATGTAATAATCGTCTTAAACATTAGAGTGAAACAATAGGAATATAAATGAATAGGTAAACCAGAAAAACTCCGTCATAACAAAAATTCATTTTATCGAGTTACGTCTTATCGAGTTCCGACTGCTTTCAAGAAGCCAATTTTGAAAAAAGCCACATAATATCCTGACAAGTAAAAAATGAAAATTTTTGGCAGAGTTGGGAGAATAAACCCTTGATGTTTTTAACCCCAAGCCTTCTTTCCATGTAGAACAATGGTGGTAGAAAAATTTTTATGGTAAAGTTTATTTGTTTACTTCTCAATTGTGTACAATTATAAGCTGTAGAGCAAAGACTTTTTTGTTCTCTCGGGTGGATTTTTAGTTTCATATTTACAAAATTTTTTAAAAATAACTTTATCTCTTAAATCTTTTAGCAAATAGCCTTCTTGGTCAAAAAATACACCTTCCCTCTCTAATTTTTCCACTTTTATTTTTTCTTTACCAGGTTCGTTCCTTTAAAAAATCATTTTCGAAAAATTAAAATGATAATATTAAATTTAACATTGAGCTTAGCATTAGGTATCAGATTCAACAGGATTATCCAAACACCTGATGGTAAGGACAAAGCGGTGGTGGAATAAATCAAAATCTATATTGCACCGAATAATTCTTATTTAATTTGAAAACTAGAAGGTTTATTTGTACCTTCAAGTCAAGAAGTGAATAATATGGCAAGCTACTATAACCATTTTGCTAGTTTTGACATTCATCCACCAAGAATTATTTGATCTTGAACATACTTGATTGTTTTTGTACTGGCCGCGAGGAGCCCTGATTTTATTGAAATTTAATTCTGGATCTTTGAGCCTGTGAAGTTTCTCCTATCTTCAGTGTACATTGGTCCGGTGTAGGATGAGCGTAATGCCGATTATCAATTCTTTTTATGTTCATTTGAGAAATATTGTAAACATCAAAAGAAAACAAGAACATTTTATACACTCACGTGACAATAAACGGAATTTGCATCATTATATTAATATGTTGAAGATTTATTCATATTTTGGAGATGATTAAGTATAAGATTGTTTATGTAGCTAGAGACTGAATTTATCTACACTAATGATATTAAATTTTGATGTTCTTTTATATTTACTTGAGTTAGTTATTTACATACTCAGAGAACTAAAACTTTGATTTTCTTGGTAAATTACCACCATCACCATTGCCACTTCAAATAATAAGGAAAATATTGATAACGGTAAAAAAGTACATATTATTTATAAATTAATATTGGGTATTCAATATAATTAATACGTTATTATTTAAAATTCTTTTCATACCATTCTCTTTAGGAAAAATTGAAAATGGAAAGAAGAGACATAAATTAAATTTACGGAAGAGATTAATCAGCTGAAAATACAATTACAACAAAGGAGCTTGATAAACAAGAGAAGCGAATTTATTTCCAACCATTCCATTCCACTTATCTATTTATCTATTTAAGGGAATGCTTGGTATGCTGTTTATGATATTGACTAACTTGTACTTTCTCTAGCTTTTTATTCCTTTGCTTTCTTCTGCACCTTTAGCTATGTCTAAAAAATTTCAAAGGATAACATTTGTTAGACTCGAGGATAAGTCCCCGTGATAAAGTCAATATGTAGATCTTGTTCTCTTTGAAAAAGCTTTGAGAGTATAAAAATTTTATGAAAAGACGAGCGCTTTTTACCACACAACCAACCCATGTACGCTTGTAGATTTCCAATGTTTTTAGTTTGAGTTTTTAAACATAATGACATTTCTGCACAGCAAAAGGATGGGTTCGCCCCTCGTGTAGTTTTGCCAATGTCATAATAGCCAAAGGATCGTTTCGTTTCCTTCTGAGCTGGTGATGGTTTCGCTTTCTTGTATGATCCTCGACTGTTTTGGATGAAGAAGAAATCAGGAGTCTTACATAGGTACTTTGGTATTTTCTATCTTTTACATATAATGACCATTCTCACTCATACCCATTTCCCAAGACAAAATGAACATTCATAATAAGATACATAAAGGTTTGGTTGCACCCCAAGACAAGAAAGTATCATATGTCATCGGCATGTCTTAATAGTATAATATATTTGTCCGATGAAGAGATACGTAGAACAATTGAAAGTCATTTACGTGAATATCAGCTTGCGTGTCTTAGCAAGCTTCATACCAAACTGACGGATTTAAGCAGTATGTCAGTCAGTTTACCTAGCATGTATGTAACAGAGCCAAATTCCGACTCTTGTTTGTAAGTCTTTTGTTTCTGGAAGATTCGATCCCTATTATTACGAAGATTATGACATCGCTCAGCAAGTACTTACGCATTGGTAAGTGTTCATATTTACTTTAGCCGATTTTTTCACTGTCATTAACTCTTCTATAAATAGTTCAGTCCAATTAGAGGCCCTAATAAGTTATAAATCCAAGGTTTAACCTTTGTATGAACATTCGCAATAGACACTGTAATCTATATTTTAAATCGGTTATTCAGGACGTAATAGATGGTGGATGGTAAGTGTTAATTGTAAAATTTAAAGCATCAGGCTAACTTATTTGGATAATTACTCTTATTCGAATTAACTGCTCCTCACACGAAAAAAAATAAATTTGATGATTATTTAAAGCGATGAGAACAAACAAACCAAACAATCAAGTTATAATTGTCGTTGAATTTTCAAGTGGCAGGAAAGCGTCCTCTACCAAAAACATATTAAGTTACAGTGTGTTAAAGAAAAAAAACGGCGGTTTACAAAAATATTGCTTTAATGAAAAATAGCCAAAATTATGTAGAAAAGTTTGGAGCATATTGCCATGCAGGCTTTAGAGTAATTATTAAGGAAATTTACACATTAAATTGTTTTTTTATTTTCAATCGACAAAATTCTAGAAAATCTGAAAGTATGAAAATTTTATATACATACTCTCCAGAACTTTCGCTACAGACGGTATAATTTTTTGTACGATCATTATTGTTATGAATATGTTTGCGTCAGAGCTATTTTTAAAAAATTCCATGTTAAAATTTCAAATACAAAAATTTAGCAAGGTTTTAAAAAGAAGATATGAATAAGCTCTATAGAAAATTGGCAATGGCATTTCGTGTGTCTATTTTTTATTATTTAACAAGGCAATTTTATTAATTATTGAGATATGCAATTTTTTGTCACCGCCATTTTTTCTTAACACACTGTATGACAAATGCGATGCGAATTTTAAATGCCAGATTACAAACCATACTCAGAGAAAAAGCACGCATTTATTTGATACAATTTGTTAAGGAAACTTTTGACATAATGAACATAATTACAGTTTTATCAAGTGAAAAATTATTACAATACTTAAATTAAATGTTAATTAGGCAGATTAGAGGATGCCTGACCTCACGGCATGAAGCCTTGACTATGATTAACCTTTGAATTGGTTAACATTAGATTTAGTCACACAAAAAAATTGCGAAACTTTATTAATTTTTAGAAAAATACCAACTACTACTACATAATAATTTTAAGTCAAATATATTAATTAATACTATGGATAGCAACTACAGGTCGCCTCCCGTTATAAGGACACATCGTATAACGAGATGTCCTTATAACGGAAGTTCATGAAAATCACGTGATTCATAAAAATGCTATATAAAAAACAAACCATTTTACATTAATTATTGTTGTTAAATAGTCTTGTTTGAAAACGTCACCCTCAAAAAAAAAAAAACAATTGTGAATAAATTTTCTTTATTGGTTAATAATGCAAAGATACTTCATCACAAATCAAAACAATTTATAAAATTTCTTTATTGTTAATAAGAGATCAATCAAAAACGTAAAGATACTTTGCCACCACCAAAACAATTTGTAATTATTGTGTTAATAAAAATAAACTTGATTTAATATTAGTAATTTGAAACATTAAATAACATAATGTTATCTATTATTATTTGTCATAGTGATCGGTGGGATTTGATTGGTTATCTCGTTATACTGACATGTCCTTATAACGGATGTCACTATAACGGGATAGATTTTATAATTATAAAAATTTTTTTTGTCAAACTATGTCCTTATACTCGTATAAAGGAAGTAAATTTTATATTTGTAAAATGAAAAAATGTCACTATAACGGGATTCTCACTATAACGAGTTGTCCTTATAACGGGAGTGACCTGTAAACGCAAATACAAAACTACGCAAAACAATAGAATTAAATCAATGGTTCGTGGTGGTCCAGGATATGAAGGTGGGGTATCATTGGCATTCTTTTTTTGTGGGCGTGACTTTTTTTTGGAGTGTCTTGCAATGAACAATTTTATTGATTCCCTTGGCTGTAAATAAGACGTTCGCTTATGTGAAAAGAAAGTTAGGATAATTTATTGGTGACCCATACCTGAATTCCACCATATCCTTTACAAAATTTTTCGAAAACATAAAGGTTTCGGATATTTTGGTGCGTATGAAACGGTCAATAAGATACGCTAATGGATCAAACATTCGATCTTAAGATAGCTGTCTATGAAATAATATTTTTAGAAACATGTAAATAATTCGCGCTTTTTTTATTATTAAGCCTTTAATCAAAATGCTCTTTTGAAGAAAATCTCCTGGAGAAATTTCATCATATGTGCCGAAATCGCTAGAATTACTTTCACTTGGATGCTCGAGTAGCATATCCCTCAACACCAATTTTTTTCTGAACTGTTATTACATCTTTCTCCAAGCATAAAAACAATTCATAAAGATTAGCGAGGTCTTCTTACTTTGGCCTGATTTATCATTTTGCCGTTTTCCATGATGGTTATACTAAGGTGTTATGAAAAAAATGTCAAACCTCATAATATCAGTATGTTTTGTGTTTGTGGTTATAAGATGTGTGCTTCCTGTATTTTGTCGATTTTGATGGAAGTGGCAGAAGATTATATTATGTATAATATTTCATAATTATTCGTTATCGTAATGATAAATTATTATCAATTGGTTTATATTTAAAACAAATGGATTTATATGTTGGATAAATGAATATTTTGGTTTCTTTTATCCAAAAAATCAGATTTAGTTTTTGGTCCATATTGATGTCGTGTGTATCTATCTGCAAAAGTTATTTTTTTAAATATCCCATATTTTGGATTTTCTGGCAGAATCTTAAATCGATTTTTTGCTTTTCAAATCGGCCTTCCCTTTTTTTATTTATCATAAAAATCATAAATATAATAATTGTTTTAATTATTAAATAAAAGATCAACCACTTGTTTATTTTTTAATCTCTTCAATCCTATCTATTAATATATTTTAAAGCTTCATCGCAAGCAGAATTGACACCCAATGTCGATGGTTTATAAACTTTAAGCGGTGTTAGAGTTTTTGGTAATGGTCAGTTTATTGTTTTTCAGGAAGTTGACTTTTCATAAACTAGAGAATGTGACTTTTTAAAAAGACAGCTTGAGGTGTATTTTTAATTTGTATGTGGCAATTTTTAAAAGCTCACATTTGTTTTGATTTAATAAAAAATGGTTACCGAAGAAAAACTCTAGTGTGTCATATTCAATAAATTTGTACTACAACAAAATTTGATTTTTGATTCGCTTGGGAAATTCTGATCATATTTTCTCAAGGAAAATGAGAAGAAAAAATATTTGGTCAGCAGAATGTCTTTTAGATGAAAAGGTAGAAAACGAAAAAAAATATTATTTAGTGAAATGGAAAGGTACTGATAGAACAACTGGAAAACAGTGGGAACCTACATGGGTATCTATTTATTTTATTTCTTCTTTGCTCTATAAAACAATAACAATATTTACATTTTTTTTATTTAACTAGGAACCGGATAGAAATTGTTCTGCAGCTTTAAAAAAAGATTGGATGCTAAAACAACAAAGTGATAATACTCATTCCAACATGACATCAACAATAGAAACCGCACAAGAACCCAGCCAAGAGGCCCATTCGCTAGTAATATTTATTATTGTCATTGCTTTGGACTATAATTAAATATATTTAATTAAATAAATTATTTATAGGGAAATGATGATTTGATTGAAAAATCTCTCGATATTGATAATATTCATTACAACATAGCATTAAAAATGCTTGAGAAAGAGCCCGACCAAGAAATCCAGCCACTAGTAATATATTTGTATTTATACTATATTATTTTAGTTAAATATATTTAATAAACAAAAATTTATTTATAGGGAAATGATGATTGGATGGAAAATTTTCCCAACATTGATAATATTCATTACAACATAGCATTAAAAATACTCGAGGAAGAAATGACACAAGTACCCGACCAAGAAACCCAGCCACTAGTAATATATTTATATTTATACTTGTATTGTATTGTAGTTGTTTTTGGGCTATAATTAAATATTTAATTATACAAATTATATATAGGAAAATGATAATTTGATGGAAAAATCTCCCAATGTTAATCAAAATGATGAAGTGAGACAATCAATGAATAAGAGAAAAGCAACTGATATATCAAACAATCTCATAAAGCAACATAAGGGATATTATGAAAAAACAAATACTAGGTATGAAAACCTTATAAAATATTTATATTCATCAAATGAAACTGTAAAAATGGAAATGAAGACAATTCAAAAAAACCAAATACTATTGAAAAGAGAATTGGAAATAAGTCTGTCAGAATTAGAAAATAAAAAAACCCATTTGAAAAGTTTACAAGAAGGTTACATTACACAAAAGAGTCTTCTATCAATTCAGAAAAACCAATATGAATTATTGGATGAGAGGTTTAAAAGGCAGAATAAAAAAGAATGCGAAAAAATAAATGAACTACAAAAAGATAATGTAAAGATATTAGAGGAGATTGAGAGATTGAAAACTTATAGAGAAAGTGAAGGCCAATCATCATCATCAGACTTTTTAGAAAATGAGAATAAAAATTTGCAATCACAAGTGTATCTTTTAAAAGCCCAATGTAAATTGAATGAGCAAAGATTGAAAATGCCAAAAGAATTGATTAAAAGGCATGAATCTACTCTTAGATTATTGATTGATCATAAAAAAATAGTGTCAGAGAACAATGTTCAAGACAAAAATCTACCAATTTATTGATTTTATTTTAATGAACAAACAATTAAATGTAAATAAATTTTTATGTTATGATTAATTATGTTGCTAATAAAGACAGGAATTTAAAATGTGATTAGTAATAACAATAGAGTGAATATTTATTTTCATCAATATAAAGAAAGTTCATTGTCAGCTAGCTTGCACTTTACAATCATTATTAAACTTGTTATAATTTATAATTTTATTGTATTTTTGATATTTCATCAATTAAATAAATCAAAATCCAATTCCAAAGTCAATATTTTCTTCTAATACTGGAAATACAAAGCTGGGTTTTTCAAAAGCAAGTGCTGGAATTTTCTTGGATTTCTTATTGATTTCTGAATTAAATAACTTTATTTTTTACAAGAATTATCAGCAAAAGAAAAATGCCATGTCATATATCAATGAAAATAAAAATTAAATTAATAATTACAGTAGAATATGTATGATCCAGAAAATCTTCTAGATTATATTGAGTCCTTGTAAATTTATCTTGAAAGATTTTGGCTAATGCTGCAACATTTGGTAAATAATGATCTTGTAATGTCTTTTATTAATTAGTAATAATAATAATATTATTATTAACACAATTACTCTTTTGCATAAAATTTCCTCTATAAATAAATAATATGCTAATCATACCTTTAATTCCCATAAAGAACTGTCAATTGCATTACTTTTCAATGGATCTTGTTCATAAAAATCATATGGGTCTTTAAAGATAATTTCTTCCTTTGAATCTAAAAAATATTTTTTAATATTGTTTCAATAATTGTCATTTTATTAATTTATAAATAATTTACCAGTCTCAGGATTTATTGAATTAGGCCTATGAATTAATGCCATACAAGGTGGGTGTCGTCTTATTAAATTATATATCATTGGTATAATTATTACAATTCCATTTGGTGGGCTTGTGAGTGAAAGATGTGACATTCTTTTAATAAATGCTGCAACAAGTTGAACAGGAAGATGTCTACACATATATATATGAAAGATATATATATTAGATGAATATTAGATATATGTATGTTTGACTGTATATTTGGTGATACATACGTAGATGAAAGAAATAAATCAGCTAATCGAAAGAATCGTGATCGATATTTCACATGCATCAAATTACGATCAAATAAATTATATAATTTCTTGTAAAAATCTGGGTAATCTCTGAATATTGATTTAAAAAATCAAAAAAATTATACAAAAGGCTTTAGTAATTTTCCTTTGCTAAATTGATATTTTGAATAATGACAGATAACTAACAAGTTGTGTTCATTAATAAGAGTAAAAAGCCCATTAAGTGCCAATAAACTAATTGCTCCACCTAAATATAACAACATCAGTAATCATAATTAATAATAATAAAAACAATTATATAGCAATCAATGATTGTTATTTTTTTACCTGCATTATAAGAATCTGTTAGAAAATCCATTAATAAAGTAGGCTGTTTCATATGAGGAATTATTTTTTTATGCATAATTGAAAGGATTTTCTTGTATGATTCTTCTGTCATTGGAAGTTTAAAAAAACTTAGCCAACAATCAGAGAATACTTTTCGATGAGCACCCAATTGTAATAAAACTGATTTTTTGTTTGAATTCTCTTCATTATCTCCATCTCCATCATCATTTTCCTCATCCTCATCCTCATCCTCCTCATCCTCATCCTCATCATTTCTCTCATCATTACCAAAAAGATAATCATAATCATAATCATCAACATTTTTCTTGTTCTTTTTTTCATCTAATTCCTTGGAATTGTTACTGCTACTAGGTGCTGGGTGACTTGTCCAAAATTCATCAATCTCTGATGAATCTGTTGGCATTGTTCTAAGGTTTTCAAGTATTTGTAATGTATTCTCCATCAAATTATATAATCTTTCTTCTTGTGACCTTTCATTCTTTATTTTCTAATTGAAAATTAAAGTTTTTGTTTTAACTGGCTGAAATCAATTGTCATCATAATAATTATTATTATAGTAAAAAAATAAATTCAAACTTTAGATAAAGGTCCATATTTTTCTTTGGATTTTCCATTATCAACTGCAAAATTAATTATCTTGCTAAAAATTTTTTTTAAAAAAATAAATCACTACAATTAAATAATTTAAACACATAATTAATAATTATAATTATAATTATTACTACTAACATCACATCTTTAAAAAAATAAAATCTTAAATCATCATAAATATTCCAATATTTTTCTACAAATTCATTTAATAAATGTTCATTGAAGTTTTCATTGTCAATAAGTGCTTCAACAATTCGATAATATTGATTGTTTGGAAAATAAAAATCTCCTGAAGCTTTGGTGTAATATATTGATTCTATTCTAAGTAAATCCAATAGAATGTTTAAAGATGGAATCTAAATAAAATTATATTTCCCCCATTTACCATTAAACCAATATTATCATGAAAATAAAATGCATATGAAATATAAACATAATATATTGATTGATTGATTGATTGATTGATTGATTGATTGATACCTGCAAACCAGGCTCTTCTTGTCCAATTAAACCATACAAATTGTTGATATATCTTATATAATTGTCTCTTAACTCTGATTTAATTATCATTTGTTGATCTTTCTCTGCTGTTTCCTTGGGCCTTTGCAAACCACCTTTGGAAAGTAATTGTGAGAAAATACGATATAGTGCATGAATGGCAGAGTAAACAATCTTTGGCATTTCATAATTCTTTTCAAATACATAACAAAAACCATATAATACAATTTAAATTAATTTAGAAATTTCTAAGGTAAATCCATATCATTTGTCCTCTAATTCCATAACTAATAAATACCTCAGTGAAATCTATTAGTTTGTTAAAATTAACATTGTTGGTTTTATTTTCTATAAAATCTTGTTCAAGCTCTTTGATCTTTTTTATTATTTCATTTTCTTTTTCCTGGGTGCAGTTATCATCATCATTATTGTTCTTTTCTAAAACCTTTCGTTTTTTATTATTTAATGACATTTTGCCGTTAGCATTAGATCAAAAAAAAATTTTTTATTTAATATGGCAATGATTTTCTTTGATCAAATGCTGTGCCATCCAAAATTTAAATTTTTAGATAATCTTTTTAATTTAAGTAATCAGATTTCTTTTATTGGAAAAATTTTCTGTATCACGAAAACTTTTAAGCCGATCATTGACCTTTTAGGAATTCACAAGGGAAGATCATTCCGAAATTTTACAATTTACATATATAAAACGACCTAACTTTGAAGCTTTATGACTCAAAACTTTTCTAATTAAAAGAAAAAATAACTGACGGAAATGAAGCTCAGGTATTTAGCTTTAATTCTATCGGTTTACTTTTTTCTTTTTCTTTTTTAATAAGGAGTTATAAGCTTTTAAAGTCTGTGATAATCATTGACATCCTGCACTATAGTATATATGATTTGACAAATAATAATATTAAATAAATGAGGAAAGAAAATTATTATTGATTTATTTGTATATGCATAAATTTTTTTATTTATAACAAATTAATGTAACTTTAAAAAAAATTGCATTTTATAGACCTTATATTTCTCTTTGGAAAATTTGTAAATTTTCAAGAAGATGTTATAGGTTTATGAATGTCTATAAAATGAAGCTTTCTGGCAAAGCTGCTATTTTTGCAGCCAAAAAAAAATACTGTTATCATTCACAGAAGAGTCACATCAATCACGTGAGACTTCTTAAACATTCTGTAAATCATGTGATGATCTGTGGTGAAAAAATTTAAAATCTTTCTATAAGATTGTTACTTAGGACTTGTAGAATAAAACTACAGAGTCTTTCTTTGACTGTCAACCATAAATTTTGGCACTATTTTTTTGAAATATTTGGAATATTTTGAACAAGGCAAATAAAGACTAGAAATATGGAAAAATCTATTTGATAATTTAAAAAGAACAAATGTTTTTTGCAAGTTTATATACAACTTTTGGTCATCTTCCAGGCCTTTTCTGGCAAATAAAAATTTCGAGTTGTATATAGGACTTTTTTTGGGTACAGCTAAGGTATCACCAATCGAAGTAATAATAAGAGATGTGTTATTAATAAAAGAAATAGTTTCTTCTGTTACTAATGAT